AACTATCAAGGGCTCATGAGGGAGGGGGGAGCGGGGAGGGAGGGGAAAAATGAGGACCTGATGCCGGGGGTTTAAGTGGAGAGAAAATGTTTTCAGAATGATGTACACATGCGCTTTACACAATTGATGTGTGTATGGACTGTGATAAGAGTTGTATGAGCCCCTAATAAAATGATTAAAAAACAAACAAAACAGAAGCAAATACTATTATAGGTAGAATCTATGAGTAGATACCTGGATACACATGCATGCAGGCTAAGTGAGTGTGGGAGGGAGAGTGACATTACTCCCGCAAATATCTCTATGTCAAATATATATATGTACTTGACAAGAGGCCAGTTCTACAGTGTATTTACTATGCTGTAAATATATCCATGGGTGTGGTGATGCAGATAGGGGGTAAAATTATGAAAACAGACTAGCCATAACCAAACATTATGATGGAATGTATCACGGGGCTGGTGGCTCAGGGTCACAGTCTCAGGGAACAACAAGGTCAAATGGCCTATCAACCACCTACAAAGACAATGTTCTACATCTTACTTAGGCGAAGAGTAACTGATGTCTAAAAGCTCAATAGTGCAACCTGGACAGGTCTTTCCCTGTCCAGAGGAGATTCTGAGATAAGAAAAACCAAAGTAGTATGGAAATGAGTAGTCCAATGGACTAACGGTGGCTCATGTGACCATCTGTCTCCAATCCCTGAGAGCAGAACTACTTGGTACCCAGCTACCAACCGCTCTGAAAGGTATCACTTAGGTGGTCCTGGATCGTGTGAGAAAAATGTCTGCCTACAGCCCCAACAAAGCACTCTTCCACTCTCCCAAGTGTCTCTTTAATTTTTTCCCTCTTCTTTTATAAAAAATCTTTTTATTGTGGGCTCGTTATAGCTCATATCACAATCCATATATAAATCCATTGTGTCAAGTACATTTGTACATATGTTGCCATCATCATTTTCAAAACATTTTCTTTCTACCTGAGCCCTTGGTATCAGCTCATCCCCACCCCCCCACCCTCATGAACCCGTGTGATAACTTATGAATTATTTTTTTCATTCCCAATTGTCTTTTTAATGTATTTATTACCATACAACCCATCCAAATGGCAGACTAGCCTATCTGCTCTGTGCAGCTATTGTACCTTACCTTCATCTGGACTAACCATAGCCTCTACCCAAAACACCAGGAAGAATGATGATTCCGTCTCAATTCCCAGTGAGACAAGGGCAAGGGCAGAATATGGTTCAGAATAAACTTTAATTTGCTCTCCTCTACCCTTCTATGAAAGTCTCTTTCAAATATCCTTAAGAGAGAATAGCTTTTTAAAATACACTAGACTGGATGATACCAATTCAGTTAAAATATCTAGAGGCTAAATCTAAATAAGCAAATTATCCATTTTTAACACTCTCATGTCAAATCTCGTTCAACTTAGTTTAAGTACAATTACCATTAAGTTATGATTCAGGATTCTTGCCTAATTAGGATATAAAATGTTAATTTCCCCATGTAAACTTTAAGACTTTAAATTACTTCTTGAATAAAGAAAGGCATAAAGCAACTCTTATGTCATAATAATACATTTGCAAAATATAAGAACACTTCCATTTATGGCATCAGGTAGAGCAGAAGCTTTATGAATAAATCAGATCCAACCAGTAGTTTTCAAATGGGACAAATAATCATGGATGAAAAACCAGAACAATATGGATAAAGAAAGGAAAAGTATGTAGGGAATTATTAATACTATCTAGTAAAGACAATCTTTAAATTTTTGCCCTACCCTAAAGGTTAATGGCCAGCCCCTACTTCGCTTACCAAAAAGTGAAGCCACCCGGAAGGCATACTGAAAACTGAGCTTCCAAGCAGTCTGACACCGTCCTTTCTTAAATTCTAACTCAGAAAACCGAACTCACTCCCCTCAAGTCCATTCCGACTCAGAACAGCCGCACAGAGCTGGGTAGAACTGCTGCTGTGGGTTCCCAAGACTGGAACTGTTTATGTGAGTGGACAGCCTTGTCTGTCTCTCATGGGGTTGCCGGTGGCTTCAAACTTGACATCCCAAGGCATAACCACTACATTTGGAAAAAAGTCTACTAGAAAACAAAACTGATACTGTGGGGAAGAGGATCTCAAGGGAACAGATGAGAACTTTGCAAAACTTATTTTTATTCATAAAACATGAATCTTACAATTCTACCTAAGTGGAATCTAAAAGCTAGAAGATAAAAATTGAGGAATAAGAGGGGGCTTCCTCCTGAGGAAAAGGGGGGATGGGGAGGGAAGGAAACAAAAAAAATGAGGAGCTGATATTAAGGGCTCAAGTAGAAAGAAAATGTTTTGAAAATGACCATGGCAACTAATGTACAAATGTTAAAGACACAGTGGGTGTATGTATGGATTGTGATAAGGGCTATATGAACCCCAATAACATGATTAAATAAAAGGGGGGGCTTCATGGGAAAATGTAAAATGAAAATACAATGGAAATTCCCCAGACTTTTTGAAGCTCTCTAGAACTCCGAGACAGACAGACAGACACACACACACACACACACACACACACACACACAGCCATTGAGTTCATTCTGACTAATAATGAGCCTACAGGATAAAGTAGACCAGCTCCCTAGAGTTTCTTCATCTTTTTAATTGTATCATTTTATTGGGGGCTTTAACAGCCTTTTTTTTTTTTTTTAAACAAACAAACATTTTATTGGGGGCTCTTCCAGCTCTTATAACAATCCAATCAGTTGTATCAAGCACATTTGTACATATGTTGCCATCACCCTTTTCAAAACTTTTTTTTACTTGAGCCCTTGGTATCAGTTTTTCCCCTCCTCCCTTCCCCACCCTCATGACCCCTTGATAAATTATAACTTTCCTATCTTACACCATCTGCTGTTTCCCTTTACCCACATTTCTGTTGTTTGTCCCCCTGGGAGGGTGATTATATGTTGATCATTATGATAGGTTCCTCCTCTCTACCCCCACTTTTCTCCTTCCCTCATGGTATCACTACTCGCATTACTGTTCTGAGGCGTTTATCTGTTCTGGATTCTGTGTGTCAAGAGGTCTTATCCGTACCAGTATACATGCTCCAGTCCAGCTGGATTTGTAAGGTAGAGTTGGGGTCATGATAGTGGGGGGGGCAGGGGAGGAAGGAAGCATTAAAGAACTAGAGGAAGGTTCTCTGTGTTTAACTGGTGCTATGCTGCATCCTAGACGGCTCGACCCTCCCCCCCCTCTTCCTTGTGACCCTTTCATAAAGGATGTCCAAATGTCTACAGATGGGCTTTGGGTCTCCATTACGACCTGCCTCGTCTGCATAGATATGGTTGTGTTTTGGGTCTTCTGATGCCTGATACCTGATCCCGTGGACACCTCGTGATCACACAGGCTGGTGTGCTTCTTCCACGTGGGCTTTGTTGCTTCCCTGCTAGATGGCTGCTTGTGTAACTTCAAGCCTTTAAGACCCCAGACACTATATATCAACATTTGCTTATATGCCCATTGTGACTTGATGCTCACGTCAGGAAGATGAGCATCAGAGAATGCCAGGTTATTAGAACAAAGTGTTCTTGCATTGAAGGAGGACTTCAGTAGAGGTCTACCTTGAAATTTAATATATAAATATATGTACATAGACCTATTTCCCTATCGTTATATATTAATATATTTACATATATACATGCCTATACTTATACCTCTATAAATGTCTTGTCTCCTACTTCTTTCTTTACTTTCTTCCTGTCCCACATGATCATATTCGACCTCCATTTGGCTCTCAGTAATTCCTTTCGGCTACACTGCAGTTGATCAAACCCCACCAGGCATTCTATACCCTCCTTGCCATAAACTTTAGATACTCTGTTTCCCCGAAAATTAGACCTACAGTTTTGACTCTTGCTGAAATATAAGGCATCCCCCACAAAATAAGGCCCCCCAAAGCTACAATAACTCTGGACTCTGGACCGCAGCGGCACCGCCGCGCAGCTCACCTTTGGCCGCAAAGCAGCCGGAGCAGACAAGAAGTGCGGGGTCTTTTTAAATAAAACAATAAACAATAAATGTGTACCATATTCTTCACGGAAAAATAAGACATCCCCTGAAAATAAGACCTAGCGCATCTTTGGGAGCAAAATTAATATAAGACACTATCTTATTTTCGGGGAAACAAGGTAGCTTGTTCCCTTGCCCTTGGATTTGTTGGCTCCCTCCTCCCTGTTTCCCACCTCTCCTCTCCCCCCCAAACTGCCAGTCCCATTGGTTCCTCCTCAGGATTGTTTATCTTGCCTATCTTACATAGATAGATGTGGGGAAAAAAGGAAAGAAAAAGAGGGGGGGCCCTATAAATAGTTCCAGGTCTCTCTGCCGACCCTTATGTATGTTTTCCGATTGAGCCTGATGAGGTCCTCAGCCCTGCTCTCCAAATCTGAAATCTATTTTTGGGATTCCTTGGGGACTTTGTTGTTTTGCTCCCCTTGCTGCTCTGTTGCTCTCCCTTCGTGTTCACCCCAGTGTGGCTCCCTGGAGTTTCTGAGGAGGAGAAAGTAACATCCTTCTTACACAGAGTAGTTTATGGGTTCAATCTGCTGGCTCTGGGATTAGTAGCCCAATGGGTAACCCACTAAGTCACCAGGAGGCTTTCTTATATAAACAAAAGTAAAATAAAAAAGAAAGGACAAAAGAAGATAAATGTAAGAGATTCAACATCCAACTAGAAGGAATCCTCAAGAGAAAAGAAAAAAGTTGATGGAAGAAATTAAGGAGGAACGATCCTCACTGCTGAAAGGAGACATATATTTTCAAATTCAAAGTGCTCAATAAAATATAAAGCACAATGAAAGAGCACACCTAGACACAGATAGCAGCTGCTAATAACTCAAAATCAAAAGACCATTCAAGTCTCTAGACAGAGAGAAAAGAAACCTCGTCAGGTCATCCACAGCTAAATGATGATCAGACTTATTACTGATATATTCTGTATCAAATCAAACTATGAAACAAATTTTCAGAAGACACTCAGTGATTCAGAGACTTTACTTCCTACATACTTTTTTTAGAAAGCGATCTAAAAATGTATCCAACAAAACAATGAGGCAAAGCAATAAAGAAAATTTGGAAGCCTCGAAACAGTTGTTCGAAAGAGAAATGAAGAGAAAGTTTAAGTCAGCAGCTGTGTAGCAGGCCCAGAGGGGAATTGTCTGTATCAGCTTAGGGAGAAAGATGGACAAGAAAGAAGCTTTTGAGAGAAGGATGCCCAGAAAAAGAGGATTGGATGCAAAAAAGGCAGTTGGACCAGGAACCTGGAAAAGTCTTAAGATAATGATTAAGACACTGACAAGATTAAAAAAAAAAAGATTAAAAATAAAACAAAAAGGATAATGAAATATTTTAGGACACAGGAAATTGTTCAAGGCAGGCATTATCCCAGTAAGGTTTCACAATTGAGCAATTAGAAGTGTTCCAAAAAAGTAAAACCCATTTCAAATTAAGCCTAAGAAGGTTCTTTTAAGTGGCAGAGGGCTAGAAAATTAAGCACATTCCAAAATATAATCATAGAACAATATTTGCCTTCATAGTAAGTATATAGTCATAATAAGGAACTGATTTCTTGTTTTCAAGCTTTAGAATCTGCCAAGATTCCATATGATTATATCATTTAAATACTGTCACAAGTCAAATGACAGCTTAAGCTGGGGGGTGGGGGGCAGCAGGGAGTAAAATGAGTCCCAAGATTAGTTTCTTAGAGAGTATCTAGATACTGTCTATCCTTGATACAACTAGAAATAGACTTGTCTTGTTGGGGGTGGGGGAGAAATAAGAAATATGCATTTGGAAAAAAAAAACAACCCACACTGCATTTGGGAGAAAACAAACTGATCCAGACTCACAGCAACCCTGTAAGGCAGAGTAGAACTGTCCCACTGGGAAAGCACACAGTCACATCTTCCAGTATGGGTTCAAATTGCCAACTTTTCAGTTAGCAGCCAGGCTTTTAACACATAAACCTCCAGAGCTCCTTAGGGTCTGATTAGAGACTGTGCTTTGAAGAATTGATGCATTCTGAATTGTGGTGCTAGCAAAGAATGTTCAAAGAACCACGGACTGGCAGAAGAACAAACAAATCTGTCTGGAAAGAAGTACAG